AAAAAATTGGAGGCATCGCTTTTTGGCGCCCCCAAATCTTGGCACCCCAGGCAACCGCCTCGTCTGCCTAAATGGTAGCACCGGCCCTGGCTTGTGGGGCTGTCTTGTCACCATCCCTAGCATGTACAACAGTTTTCCCCATAAAGCAGGTATGTCCCCCATCTTTAAAGGGTTTACCACTAGTATCAACTCCTTTGTCTTGACCCATAGATGAAGTAGCAAAAGACACAAGATTAAGAGCAAATCGACGGCGGACAGGCTTTGGTCACACAATTTAGCTTGTTTAGTGTCAACGGCATTTCCCAATTCCTTTGTGTACCATGCTAGGTGCCCTGATTCAGATTCCCCTCCCCTCTCTACCGAAGGCATGTTTATACATTTAAGCAACTAAATCATTCTAGGGCTATAAATCTAGCTTGTTAGTAACTTCTCCCTAAACTGTTATTTGGTTCTGTTTACCCTTAGTTTATTACCCCTTCCCCAGCTAGAAACATGCAAACCTCATCATTATTGTTTGGTACCTGGTATGAGCAAGGTCGTAATTGCTAACTGCCTGTTTACACATTCCAGTTCCTGTCCTTGGTTGTTGAGGTCGATCAGAGTTAAACATGGAAGGACAGAGTTTAAACATGGAAGAACTTTGGCTCAGACAGGCCTAGTGACCCCAACACTCCCACCAGTTCTAATTCTGCCATTTTCCCTGGCAACAAAGCCTTCTCCTGGATCAGGTCCCTCCTGACCACAGAAATCTCTGCCCCGTATCTCTCAATCCAACAAGTACTTTCCCAAGTTTAACAGCATGCACATGCTCACGGCTTGGTTGTGTAGACGCAACCTTTACAAATCCTGTGCGGAAAGAGGCAGCAGCTTCATGTGTTACTTCTTGCCTGTTCCCACTCAACAAGGGACATTTATTGTTCGGGTGCTCAGTGGACTTACAATGATAGCACCTCGTGGGCTCCTCTGCTTGCACAGGAAATTTGGGACGAGTACCAGGGGAATGGGGAGGTGACCGCCCAGCCTCCTTTTTCCCAGGGGTAAAACGGTTATTCTGCTTTCCCCCAACCCTGTACCCTTCCGCCAGTGGTTTGTGTTTGATTGCAGCTTGTGCTTGCTCATAAGAGTCTGGAAACCCAGCTAATTCACTGACTGCATTCACTTTTTTGTCCCACAAATACTGTTTTACCTCATCACTGCACATATTCAGGAAATGTTCCTGAGTAACCAAATCACACATTTCTTCCGAGCTTGTAATGCCTTTCCCCCTCACTCACTTGTCTAACAAATCTTTCATTTCATTTACATAGGCCACATTACTCAATCCAGATCCCTTCTTAAGACTCCTGACTTTAACCCTGTAGGTTTCAGGTGTAACCTGAAACTGTTTCAAAACCAGGTCCTGAAATTGATCATAGTTTGAAGCATCATCAATAGGCATCTGATTGAATATGTCCAGAGCTCTTCCAGTCAATTTTGCTACCAATGTGGTCATCTTTTGATCTTCAGGGATGGCATGGAGGGTGCACAGTCTCTCAAAGGTGATGAAATATTTGGCAATATCACTGGATTCATCATACTGTGGACATAGTTGCTCCCATTTGTGGAGTTTTGGGGAAGTGGGGCCAGCAGCTGGAGGGTTTTGTCTCTTCCCCTCCCTAACAGCCAGTTCATGCTTCTGGGCCTCAATCTGGGCCTGTATTTCCCTGTCTCTTAACTCCAGAGCTCTTTTATATGCAGCCTTCTCCCTGGCTGTTTCTGCCTCCATAGCCTTTCTGTGTGCTGTTGCCTCTGCTTCTTTGAGTTTCAGTTGAAACTCCCGGTCCTTTGCCTTCTCTTCTACTTCCAGTCTAGCCAGCCCTAGTTTAGTAGCTGCTTCACTGGTAGCCATTTTCCTGCTTTCTTGTGCTGGGCCACACCCCCTCTGCAGTTCACTGAAACTGAGATGCACTCAGCTCAGGGGCTTCTTAGTTAACAGAGACTTTCCCAGCACCCAGTGTTCAGCCTTTCTGGGCAGTTTGCAATTTGTGCAGTTCTAGCTTCTTCTGATCTTCACTCTTACTTATTTTGCTTCCTTTTCTGTCCCTATTTCTCTTACCTGAAATAAGCAAACAGAAAATAACAAACCAGTAACCACCAGGGCTGGCTTTAGGCCGATTCCCCTGATTCTCCTGAATCGGGCCCCATGCCTAAGAGGGCCCCACACCCAGTGGTGAGTTGGAGCCAGTTCTCAAGCTCCGGCAGCTGTCTGCCCCACCCCCGCCCCCAGCTCACCTCCCCCTCCTCCCCTGAACGCTCTGCCTCCTTCTCCTCCCCCTCCCCTGCTTCCCGCGAATCAGATGTTCACACAGGAAGCCTGGAAACAAGCAGCGGCAGGTAAGCTGGGGAGGCGGGGCGCAAGGAGGGCTCCAGGGAGGCGCAGTGTGGCCCAGTCTGGCTCCGGCCGAGCGGCTCAGGCCAGGCCTTGGCCCCGACTCTGGCCGGGTGACATGGCTCTGGCTCCGGGTGGCACGGCCCCGGCCCTGGCTGGGCGGTGCAGCTCCGGCCGGGCGGCATGGCCCCGGGTCTGGCTCTGGCCCGGGCCCCAGTCCTGGCCCCGGCGTGGCTCCAGCAGGGGTAAGCGGCATGGTAAGAGACTGGGGCCGGGGGTGAGTTGGATAAGGCAGGGGCAGGGAGCCCCGGGGACAGGGAGTGGGTGCGGGGAGTTGGATCGGACAGAGGTTCTGGGGGGGCGGTCAGGGGATGGGGAACAGGGGGGTTGGGTAGGCGTGGGAATTCCGGGAGTCTGTCGGCGTGCTGGTGGATGGGGTCGGGGCAGTCAGGGGACAGGGAGCAGGGTGAGTTGGGTATGGGGTGGGGTCCTGGGAGGCAGTTAAGG